GGGGAATTTCCATCATGATTGTATTAGTAAGACATTTTTTGTATTTTAATCATAACTGTATTAGTAAGACATTTTTTGTATTTTATTTTTTGTATTCATGTGTATACCCTATGCAGTTTTAATCATAACTGTATTAAGAAGATATTTTTGTATTTTATTTTGTTAAAGCAATATAAGTTTGATGAAAACATAATATATAAAATTGTGATGAATTGATATTGAAATACAAACTTATTTGGTATTCATTTGGCGTTTGGAATACAAAATGATGTTGAAATACATCCTGATTTTTGGAATACAAACTGATATTGAAATACATCCTTATTTTTGGAATATAAACTGATCCAAAGAAATAGTAACTACAATTTTAAAGTGAAATAATAATAATATAACAAGACTGGATATTGAAATATAAATACAATTTAGCTTGAATACAACTTATTCTATGTTTTATGTTTTCACCAAAAATGCATTTTCAATATCATTTTATTTTACTACTAATTTGTATATTTTTTTCTTCTTAAACTAGAATACCAAAAGAGTTGTATTCATTATAATTCTATACCAACATTTTTTTTGTATTTTAAGTTATACATATTTTTAGGTATATCGATTGTATTCCATTTTTTATATAATTTAAATTTGTGACTCATATAATTTTTCAATTACACTTTAAAGTATTCACACGTTAAATATACAAAAATAAAATAACTTCATAACATGAATATGAATACATTTCAGTTGAACACATATTCAAAGAATTCCAAACAAGTAAATATATAAAACAGAGGGCATTAGAAATTGGGAAACAATTCCACTCTAATAAGATAAAAAATTCAAGCATCATGAACTAAACAATACGCGGTCCATTCCTACACGAACGCCCATTGTGCCCCTTAAACCCACAAGTACTGCAAGAATTCTTGCTCTTCTTCCCATATAGCTCGTTGTACGCCTTGTCACGATACTTCTTGAATGGCCTTCCAGGTAGCTAGCTTCAAAAAGAAAAAATATAGAACACACACTCAATACATACTGATCTGTATTTACATACAAAGATTTCACCTTTTAGCTCAACTACAACAAATTGAATCCAGAACTTACTACAAGGCAACAAATAGTGGTATACAATTCTTAATTACTTTATGATTTTTAATCCCTAGTTGTACTCTGTTCAGTATATCACATATTTTTTATGACTTTATCCCTATATTGTTACTATTTACATTAACTTAATGGGATACAAAGCACTGTATGCATTAAAAAAACAGCTTTCAAACTAAAAAAAACAAACAATTTCATTTGTTCTACATCATAATTTGGATACAAAACATCCAAAAAAAATGGGATACAAAAATCTCATATTGTTAGTGTTTACATTAACATAATGGGATACAAAAATATTGTATGCATTCAAATAAAAAGAAAACAGCTACGAAACTAAAAAAAAAATCAAGCACTTTCAATAGTTCTACATCATAGTTTGGATACAAAACATCCAATAAAAGTTAAAATATCAAACTATACAAAAATTTCACCAATTTCATCAAAAAAAAATCAACCCACTATTATAGTCGAGATATACGAATATATCATCCAAACAAATAAAATAATCGACAAAAATAAAAATACATGATGTCGAAATTTCTTGAATTCAATGAAACTGACGAAATTATAGTCGTGAATTTTGAAAACCTCCGTTTCAAGAATATGCCGAATTCAACTCGAAGAAGCTTTGAAAATTATCATTTGAATGATTTGGAAGACAAAACTATTTTTTGCAATTTTTTTTTTGAAATTCTTAAGAACAATGCAAAAAAACGCTCGAAAGAAAAAAGAGCAACTTTCACATATAGCAAACACAAAATTCATATTTGTATGATATAGCAAAGTTTGCATAATTGCGCTCCATAGCAAACATAAATATGTATATTTCGCTATACATATACAAAAGAAAGAAGTTGTATAATATGTTTTGGTATACATATACAAAAAGATCAATTGTATAAAGTGAGAGAGGCGAGTGAGCAAGCGAGATCTGGGAGAGTGGTAAGCGAGATCTGGGAGAGGGGAACGAAAATAAATGTATATATACAATTTTCACGCATTTTATACATTTGCGTTTTTGTATAAAGTGAGAAGAGGCGAGTGAGAGAGTGAGATCTGGGAGAGGGGAGAGAGGGGAACGAAAATATATGTATATATACAATTTTCTCTCGCTTTATACAAACACATTTTATACAATTTGCGTTTTTTGTATAAAGTGAGAGAGGTGAGTGAGAGAGCGAGATCTGGGAGAGGGGAGAGAGGGAACGAAAATATATGTATATATACAATTTTCTCTCGCTTTATACAAACACAAACGCACTTTATACACTTGCGTTTGTATAAAAAACGAGAGAGGCGAGGGAGAGAACGAGAGTGGCGAGCGAGATTCACTAGGAGAGAGGTGAAATAACAACAGTTTGCTATGGGGTACAATTAAATCAAACTATATTTATAGCATTTAATTTGAATTAATAGTTTGTTATTATATACAATTTTCCCAAGAAAAAATGGCAACATATGCTCTTTCAAAACGTAGCTGATTTATATTTAAAATCATTTTTTCCTTTTTGAAATTTTCTGTTCCATGATTTTCTCTATTTTGTTATTAATTATTTGTATTCTTTCAAATTAATCAAAATAAAATAAACACATAACTCATCCCTTAACAAACGAAAATATTGTCATTTTAAATAAATAGTGAAACTATTGCTAAGGAGTCCCATTAAAAGCTAAAATATTATTATTTTGAAAATTTTCCCAGAAAAAGAATTGACATCTAATAGCCATACGTGTATTCTGCACAAAAATAAGTATGAAAATTCCTATTCATATTCATCTCTCTCTTCAAATTATCTTTTTTAAAATATAAAAGATATTTAGTACCATCTCTCTTCTAACTTCCAACAACTTTTCTTTACAACTAGTAAAAGATTTATTTAAAATTATATTGATCCTTAAAATGAGCAAAAGTATTTAATTATGAATATTCTTCTCTTAAAGGATATTTCTACGAGTCTACCATCTACAAATTATTCCTACGAGATCATCTATAAATTATTCATACGAGTATTCCTACCATCTACTAGCAAAGAATTTATTTGAAAGGATTGATCGTTAGGGTCTTGTTTTGGTTCGAATATCGGGGTTGTGGTCGGATCTTTGTTCGAATGTCGGGTATCGAGTCGAGAGTCTAGGTGAAATCCCGGATCGGATGTCGGGGTCGGGATCGGTTCCCAGTTTGAATGTCGGGTCGCGGATCGAGAGTTAGGTTCAACTCCAGGTCAAGGATTGAGGTCATATCCCGAATCAATCATCAGGGTCGGACCTTTCAGTCGTCGGGGTTGGATGTCGGGATCGAATTCTGAATCGGTTATTGCGGTTGATTTTCATGTCAAAAACTATTTTCCTAAAAAATATTTTCTACTCTCTAGCCAAAAATAAAAGATATTTTGTGAAAAATATTTTTCATTCACCAACCATACAAATAGAGAATATTTTTCACTCACCAACCAAACATGAAAAATGAGTTAGAAACTAGTTAGTTTTCAAAAAAGTATTTTCCTTCGTACCAAACACACACACATGGTTAGAACTTTTGATAAGTTCCTACACGATTTTTAATTACACGTTATCTCTAGACGGAAATATTTGTCCGTCGTCTTTTAACTTTTGGGGTTTTTCTGATTTCCTGATTCAGCAAACACACACGGTTAGAATTTTTGAGAAGTTCCTAGACGGTTTTTAATTACACGTTATCTCTAGATAGAAATATTTATCTGTCGTCTTTTAACTTCTGGGGTTTGTCTGATTTTCTGGTTAAGATTATAAGTATAAAATTATAATTTTACAATAATTTTTTAAATTGAAAAGTGAAATCAAGTAGGGTGGAAAAAGGCAGAATATTGATAATTAAGATTAGATTAGAGATAAAATTTACATAATGTTTGATTGAGAATATAAATTTAATTTATTAGGTTAAATTTATATTTTCAAACAAAGAGTATCATCTCAAACTCCTAACTTAATCTTGAAATACTTAATCATATCTAGTGTATCAACTGGCCCTTAGATTATTTGATAGGGTGAACAATAAGATTTATTTTTAATGTTGGAATTAGTCGTACGATATAACTTTTTATGGATTTAGTTTGTTATATTAAATGGACTAGCGTGTATTAAACTATAATTCCTGAAACACTATTGAATATGATGTTCTAGAATAGAAATAATATCACATATTGTAAATATCATGATTTATCATATGTAAAAAATAGTATTGAATGAGATGTATAATTGAGAGAATTGATGGCAACTTATTAAAAGATTTAGTTTTATGAGAAATTTTCATTTTTACACTTTAGAGATCTGAAAAACTTATTTTCTTTTTATTATTTTTGTAACTTGAAAGTCATCGCAAAATCTTAATTCCTCTATATTATATAATATAAAATATAACTAATATATTGACAAGTCAAACTTAAATCTGCAATCAAATATTATAATATATCACTATTTCAATTTGTTTATTTTACTTTGACTTAGCATGAAGAATAAGAAAATAAAATAAATAAATAAATTTTATGATTTAAATTAAAGATATGTTAAATATTCCAACATATTTTTCTATTTTTGTGGCCTTAAACCTATATAAAAAAATATTTCCTTTAAAATGAACTTAAAAAAAAATTAAAACAAAATTAGTAAAATATAATTCTTTCAAACTTCCAAAATGGTCCCTCTAGTGTACAAATGTTGGAAAGTTCCAATATCTAACTATTCCTTCCAAATATCTTGAGATAAGAAGATATTTTCTAGACTTCTCCTCTTTCTTCCATCTGTTTTTCTCTAGAACTTTCTAGTCCACATCCCATTCTTATATTACTCACACTCACTCCTTAATACCCCTCAAAACTCTTTTGCTAATCCATCTTATTAATTAATTGTAATAATTAGCAAACTGAATAAGCAATGGAGGAAGTAGTGAAAGTGAAGGTGGAAGAAGATGGCATTCCGACGGCCGTGCTGCCTATGGAAGGGTTGCACGACGTTGGTCCGCCACCATTTCTGAGCAAAACTTATGAAATGGTGGAAGATTCTTCAACTGATGAAGTCATATCGTGGAGCACAACAAGGAATAGCTTTATTGTTTGGGATTCTCACAAGTTTTCCACCACATTGTTGCCTAGATTTTTCAAGCACAGCAATTTTTCCAGTTTCATTCGGCAGCTTAACACATATGTAAGTATCTTTGTGCTTCTAATTTTGGTATTCCTTATCTAGATTTTGTATGTGTTAGGTTTCGATTTTCGATTAGTTAGGGTTTCTAAATAGCCATCTGTTGGACTTGGTGGTGATTACTGTTTTTTATCAATTGAAATGGGTGAATTTGATTTTAAGGACTGATATAATTTTTTATTGAATGTGGTTGTGCTGAGTGCACGGTATTATCCTGCTTTGAATGACTTCAATATGTATTTGCTCCATTAGCTTAGGCAGAAGTTGAGCTAGTGTAAGTGCAGATGGTTGGTGATTCTGATGAGTTCTACTGATTGTACGATGAATATTCGAAGAAAGAAGAAAGCTAGGTTGTGTTTCTTCTGTTGGATTATTAAGCATAGCTTCTTGTATTTTTTGTAATGGAATATGAGTTTTATTGACTCTTAACTTGATGGAAATGCAGGGATTTAGAAAGGTGGATCCTGACAGATGGGAATTTGCGAATGAAGGTTTCCTGGGAGGGCAGAAGCATCTTTTGAAGACGATAAAGAGGAGGAGGAATGTTGGTCAAAGTATGAATCAACAAGGATCCGGCGCTTGCATTGAAATTGGTTATTATGGGATGGAGGAGGAGCTAGAAAGATTACAGCGGGATAAAAACGTGTTGATGACTGAAATAGTTAAACTTAGGCAGCAACAGCAGAGTACGAGGAATCAGATCATTGCCATGGGAGAAAAAATCGAAAGCCAGGAGAGGAAACAAGAGCAGATGATGAGTTTCTTAGCAAAGATCTTCAGCAATCCAACTTTTCTCCAGCAGTACTTGGACAAACATGTGCAGAGAAAAGATAAACAACGTATTGAAGTTGGACAAAAGAGGAGACTAACGATGACCCCCAGTGCTGAGAACCTTCAAAATGTAGCCACAGGAAGTGATCATCAGCCAATGAATTACTCCTCACACCAAGAGCGTGAAGCTGAGCTTGCAAGTATTGACATGTTATTCTCTGCTGCAATGGACAATGAATCAAGCAGCAATGTCAGGTCGGCTTCTGTTGTGACAGCAAATGGCACAGATATGGAACCAGGGCCTGAAGATATTTGGGAAGAGTTGCTCAGTGAAGATCTTTTATCCGGGGATCAAGCAGAGGAAGTACTGGTTGTTGAACAACCTGAATTCGACGTGGATGTTGAAGATCTTGTTGCAAAAACACCTGAATGGGGTGAGGAATTACAAGACCTTGTAGATCAACTTGATTTCCTTTAGGTCCAATCCGTAAAAGCTTCACTTTGAGGGAAACTCTAATTGTTCCTCTGACCTCCTTGACACAATTCCAGTATCCTATATTGAGTTACTGCTTTCAAATATGTTTTAGTTAATATTTGTATTTTTTGTTTCTCTTATATAGCAGGGATGGGACGCCTAAAGCAAACACAAAATTTTATATTACATTCCTTATTGATATTTAGATTGTACTAATATGTTTTGGAAAGTGAAGTGCAGAATTGATATTTTTCTTTTCACTTGGTTTAATTTTTCAGGTTAAGATGCAGATATACTACTACTTTCGGAAAGCAAGGTTTGAGGCAGTCTCTAGCAGCGCATGTTTACAAGTAATGCCAGTTAACAGCTTTTTATTTCTTAGTTAAGTCTGGAGGAATGACTACTGTATATTCATGTTCATGTATATAATAATGTCTTTTAAATGATGTGATGTATCTTAGGCTGTCATGTTGTAGCCTATCTTTTTATTTTTCTTGTAATTTTGTATAGAACTGAGGTCCATACCATTCTCAACGGAGCTAATAATAATCATACAATTGACAATGGTATAGCTTAATTATGGCTTCTGCATTATCTATCTAGTGCTCATAAACTTTTAGGGGTTGTTTAAATATGCAGAGGTTAGGGGTTGGCTTGTAACTTGGATGTTTGGAGAATGAGGGGATAAAGTATACGGAGATCTATGTTTGGTTGCGTTGCGAGTGAGCAGCATTTTTCCTCCACCGCATCAACCAACACCAGTTCCTTTTTAAAACATTGTCATGCATGTGTCCACTTCACAAATCAATATATTTTACCAATCAGTATTATATTTGAAGGTTAGTTTTTACCTCTTTACTGGTGTTCTGCCCAACAGTTCAAGCTGGTTTACCAATTTGGATCTTGAAGATCCAGAACAATCGATGAAACTATCAATAGCAGTCATAGAGCAATTGCTTTCAATTCAATACACTAATAAACTGCTGTTGAGAATTTGTCATTGAGTATCCATCAGTTTCAATTCAATTGAATAATGAACTGTTGAGAATAATATAATTAAGTAACCAAAGTTCAAGTTTTAGATCAAAGAATATGCCAAATATAGGGGACAAATACAAGTTTAATATAATCAATCAGAACAATATTAAGCATGAGGTCTGACTTTAGGGTGGTGACAAAAGTTGAAAAATGGGAATCCTAATCAGAGTCATGTCCGAATATTATTTATTTATCTTTTCTGCAAAGCATCAAACGTGTAACAGAACAAATTGAACCGACATAAAATATTAACAAAAATAACCCCAGTATAAATAAATAAATAGTATTGAATGAACATTTCCTGTGACAAGTAAACATTTTTTAAAGTATATTAGTATTGTTTTCGACTTGCCTAATCACTATAACAGTAATTCCATGGTTTCTTTACTTCTTCAATCTACCCTTTTAAGGATTCAGTTTAATTTTTTGGAGTTGATATGTAAAATTTAAAGGTTCAGTAGAATGCATTAGAAAATTATTATATGTATTAATTTTGTATATTATTAATGTCTAATTATTTGGTACATTTTTTTTAATTTATATATAATTAATGCAAGTATTAGTTATATACTTTATTTACTAGGCTCATCTCTAGTACTAATCCCTCTAGTTGGTCCAATAATACTCTATTTTGTATTATGTATTATGATATTAGTAATATAAGGGTTTTTAATGTAGCACTGGTATGACCGTATAATTAAAAAGACAATTGTTTGTCAAAATCTTTTCCACATCTTTTCATCATATTTGTTATTAGAGAATCTTTCTATAAACAAATAGTATTTTTTTTCCAGCATAAATAATGTGAGCATAACTATTCCGTTTATCATTTGTCTAATAGCACCTTCGTCATTAGGAGACAATCTCATGTTTGCCCTTGATGTCTGATAGAGCTCAACGCAAAGTTAATTTTAAATTGAATTATAAATATGATCTTTTTTCAAAGTCTTATACCATGGTGTTTACTCATTCCACTCTAGTTTCGTTAATGGCTTAACGAGAAAAAGTCAATCCAAACTAGCTTTTAAGTGCCAAAATTAGTGCTCAAGTGAAAAGGGGCACACCAAACCTAGTGGTGGTGCAGCTGAGGACCGTTATATATATATATGAGATAAATATTAAATTTTCTTAGTTTCTTTTTGATTACCTCTTCAATTCTTTTAGTAAAAATCCCGACTCTGGCATTGAATTTTATGTGCAAGGAGTAAGGCCAAATTGACTATATCACTTCACTCAAAAAAGGAGAAGGAGAATATAAAAAGCATCACTCCAAACATTGTATTTGGAGAATCTCTACCTATGTTCGTCTAGACAAGAATAGATTTATTCTATATCTGTATCAATCCAAATAAAAGTTTGGCATTTTGTACTATCTTCATTAGCCACTGTCTCTATATTTTACCTGCCTTTCCAAATGCAATCTGCAACATCAAAATATCAGTGGAAAACAGAAAAAAAGTAAGCAAAAATATAGAAGAGGACCCTACCATTTAAATATAACCATCATTAACAACAAATACCAACAACTCATGAAATGATTTGATCATAGATCAAAAAATTACTAGGCCGGCTATACCCCATTAATTTCAAGATTCTCCTAAATACATATATATATAGTCAAACGTCGATTTGATCTCCTCCTTCACCAAGAAAACAAAAATGATGTTTCTTAGCTCAGCAATTCAAGAATCACCCATAGTCTCAACTATATTCACTATACTAGCTGGTGTTTTGGTCTACTTGTATCGACCTTATTGGCGTGTGAGAAAAGTACCTGGTCCTCCGGCTTTTCCCCTTGTAGGACATCTCCCTTTGATGGCTAAATATGGCCCTGATGTCTTCTCTGTCTTGGCCAAACAATATGGTCCTATCTACAGGTGATCGATTGTTCTTCTTTCATTTCAGAAACAGTTTTTGATCGGAGTATTCATTCAAGTTTTTACCTTTCTTAAGCAGATTTCACATGGGAAGGCAGCCACTAGTTATTGTTGCTGATGCAGAGTTATGCAGAGAAGTTGGAATAAAGAAATTCAAGGACATACCAAATAGAAGCATTCCATCTCCTATTGCAGCATCACCTCTTCATCAGAAAGGCTTATTTTTTACTAGGTAAAACAAAAGAAGCTAAAGTTGATTCCTTTAACTAGACGAAGGCTAATGTTGTTGTTAATAATACAGGGACTCAAGATGGTCAACAATGAGAAATACTATTCTATCAGTCTACCAGCCATCTTATCTAGCTAAGTTAGTGCCAATCATGCAATCGTATATCGAGTCTGCGTCTAAAAATCTGGAGTCTGAGGGAGATATCACATTCTCTGATCTCTCTCTTAAGTTAGCAACAGATGTAATTGGACAAGCTTCTTTTGGTGTGGATTTTGGACTTTCTAAACCAATATCAGACAAGATGAGTCATCATCAAGATGATAGTGAAGTACAGGAATTCATCAAGCAGCATATTTACTCCACAACACAACTCAAAATGGACTTATCAGGTTCTGTTTCAATCATACTGGGGTTACTTGTTCCGATTCTTCAAGAGCCATTTCGCCAAGTTCTCAAAAGAATCCCGGGTACTATGGACTGGAAGGTGGAAAGAACAAACAAGAATTTAAGCAGTAGGCTGGATGAGATAGTGGCAAAGAGGATGGAGGAAAAAGATCGTAGCTCGAAAGACTTCTTGTCGCTTATAATGCAGGCAAGGGAGTCAGAGAAGTTAGCTAAGAATGTTTTCACCTCAGATTATATCAGTGCTGTAACTTATGAGCACTTGCTGGCGGGTTCTGCAACGACATCCTTTACTTTGTCTTCTATCATCTATCTGGTTGCTTGCCATCCAGAAGTTGAGCAGAAGTTGCTTGCTGAGATAGATGCTTTTGGCCCTGATGATCACATACCCACTGCCAATGATCTTCAGCAGAAATTCCCGTACCTCGATCAGGTAAATGCCATTATTTTATATCTACAAGAAGTTCTCATACAATACAAGTAGAAAAAAGAAGAGAAGAGAACTAGTTTATTAAACCATTCTCATTCTTCTTGTAACTGCTTATAAACTTTAGGTAATCAAAGAAGCAATGAGGTGTTACGTTGTCTCGCCCTTAGTTGCCAGAGAAACATCATCTGAAGTGGAGATTGGAGGCTATAAACTTCCTAAGGTTAATATCTGTTTTTCCTATAATGCTGATCATTTTACTCTTCCATGGATTGGGCCCCCACCTCGGAAACCACGGGGGAGGGAATAGGTTCTAATCAAATCCAGCTCCTGTTTAGTATTTTTAACATATTTGTTACAATTAAGCAGGGAACATGGGTTTGGTTGGCTCTTGGAGTTCTTGCTAAGGACCCAAAGAACTTCCCAGAACCAGAGAAATTTAAACCAGAGAGGTTCGATCCAAACTGTGCAGAGGAAAAACAAAGGCATCCTTATGCAAATATTCCATTTGGAATAGGTCCACGAGCATGCATAGGACAGAAGTTCTCCATACAGGAAATCAAACTGTCGCTGATTCATTTGTATCGCAAGTACATTTTTCAACACTCTCCCCTCATGGAAAGCCCATTGGAACTTGAGTATGGCATAGTCCTAAACTATAAGCATGGTGTCAAGGTTCAAGCCATCAAGCGCAAATGAAACTTTCCAACATATCTAATGATGCTATGTGATACAAGAAACGAGAAATGGTGAGAGAGCTCAACCTGATGCAAGCCTGAATCCAGTCCCATCTGTGTAACAGAACTAGAATGCATACTTGTAACTTCTACTACTTCACATGTAACTCAATTTTATGACAAAAAAATGAAGTTTACACAGTCACACAATCAAGATGTGATCAACTTATCTCAGTAAATTTATGATAATAAAGCAAATGATCTACTTAATAACATACTTGCTACAAATGACAACTGCAAACCAAGTCCAGAACAAATTAAACATACCTACCAGCTTTTAGAATTTTTTTTTTTTTTTTTACAACAACAAGCTGTTGTATTGGTTGTCATTACCCCAGTCATTCTATTATTACTCAAAGACACAATTCTGCTTGTCCCCTAATCTAGAGAATTTATCCATTCTAGTAGGAAGACAGAGAGGCCTTGAGAAATTGACTGAAGGATCATAACCAGCACAACTCTTTGAGTCACCATTGTTGAGCTTAAGAAATTGGAACTCATCCATAGACTGTCTAAGCATTCTCTGATTTCTCTGCTTGGCCTTGGTTGACTCAGTTAGGCTCATGTAATTTGGTCGACTACTATTGCTGTCGTCAGTTCTATCAGATGTCAACATCGTGTTTCCAGATATTGGTGTTGTTGATGTGCAGAATGAAGATGATGCTGCTGAACTCTCATCATATCTAAATTCAGAACTTGGGCTTGACGAAGAACGAGTAGTATGCCCGACCAGTGGAGGTTTAGCTGA